ACAGTAAAGTTATCATGCAGGACAATGTAGCACTTTAAAGACTAACAAGATGGTTTATTAGATGATGAGCTTTCGTGGGCCAGACCCACTTCCTCAGATCAAATAGTGGAAGAAAGTAGTCACAACCATATATACCAAAGGATACAATTAAAAAAATGAACAAATATGAAAAGGACAAATCACATTGCAGAACAGAAGGGGGATGCGGGGGGGGGGGGGGGGGGAAGGGGGAGGAAGGAAGGTAAGTGTCTGTGAATTGCTGATATTAAAGGTAGGGAGAGGGGGATGTTTGTGAGTTAATGGTATTACAGGTGATAATTAGGGAAACTATCTTGGTAATGGGTGAGAAAGTTCACTTACCTTCCTTCCTCCCCCTTCCCCCCCCCCCCCCCCCCGCATCCCCCTTCTGTTCTGCAATGTGATTTGTCCTTTTCATATTTGTTCATTTTTTTAATTGTATCCTTTGGTATATATGGTTGTGACTACTTTCTTCCACTATTTGATCTGAGGAAGTGGGTCTGGCCCACGAAAGCTCATCATCTAATAAACCATCTTGTTAGTCTTTAAAGTGCTACATGGTCCTGCATTTTGCTTCAACTACCCCAGACTAACACGGCTACATTTCTATCAGTAAAGTTATCAGACACTGTTGTTTATGGACTGATGTCACTGGCAGAGGACGAATGGGTTGGTGTCTTCCTGTGCTCTCCATGGGCACTTATCTTCACAAGGGATTTTAAAGATTAACTGTAGTAAATAAATTTGAACTCGTTACTTCTTCTAACAGTAGGGATGTAAACTGGTGACCAGTTAACCAGCGCCTGGTCTGGCGAGAGCAGTCCCTTACCTGCAGAGGGTCGGGCCCACTGTGCCAAGGGCAGGGTTGCTCTAATGCAGCTGGGCCCACAGTGCACCATGGTGGGCAGTTCACCGGTTAAACGTATAATTTAACCAGTTAACATTTTAAATGAGATTATACATCCCTATCTGAATCACAAAACCAAAACTGCTTCAGTTTTCAAGGAGTGTTCTCATAGAATACTAGAACTGGAAGGGACCTCATTACTTTTTAAGATACACATGCTAAGAACTACCTGGCTTGATCTTCCCTGACTTTGTAGAAGGAACCTTGTGTGTGCGTGTGGGGGAGGGAGGGTATGGAGACCATTATACAAAATGTTTTTGCTTTGCAATTTAGTGATTAGATCAGTTATGGAGCTCATCAAAATATTTTCCCACCCCCACCAGCTCGGCACATGCTGTTAAAAGGAAAGCTCTACTGTGTGGTCTTACACAAACCTTGCCATTCTGCAACTCATACAGGTTTGGGTAAGATTTAATGGGGGGAAAAAAATCTTCCAAACCATTAGATTGTGAGCACAGAGACATTACAATACTTGCCATGAGTTGCATGGGGTTAAAGTAGTGCACGAAGAAACCGCTAAAAAATAAGCCAAGTTCAGGCACAAAAGACCAAAGACCTGTAAGACAAGCAATTCTTTCTGTTGCTTGTTTATAAACTATGCAAAATGAATGTGCTAATTTACTAATGCTCTAAAAGCTAATGTGCAGTTATTGACATGGAAACCCATGCACTTCTCAGATACCAGGGATGCCCCTTCCCTGGCTGAAAACCTCTAATGGGCTATCACGAGAGCCAGACTGCTATTGCCTAAGCAACTGGAATTTGAAGTCTGCCTGCTCATGCATTAAATCCTGTTGAAGGCCACTTAAAAGCAGCTAAAGCAATAAGAATCAGGTATTATTTGCTCAAGTAAATCTGCCCTGTTTATAATGGAATCAGAACCGTACTAACTATAACAATGGTGGCCCACTAGTACATTGCAGTACAAACCTGAAGTCTGCATTCTCCTCCGAAGGTTTTTTCCATTGATCTCCAAGCTAAACACTTAATTAGGAACCTGTTAGTTGCTAAGTAGATATCAAATAAAGCAGACTGCTGGGGGAGAGGAGTACTAATGAAATAGTGTCTAAAAGCAGGAGTTACAACAGTCGGGGCTTTTTCCAGCTTCTTGGTAAAGTTGAGACACTCTTCCCTCAGTACAGCTGGGATCATTTTATTTCACATGTATGGGTCCAAACAAAGACATCGCCCATTTGGAGTCTGTCAGAGGGGGGTTTCCAGGTACGGCTGCTGGTAAATTTACTCTTATTCCAGAGTTGCAGAATTCGAAAACCTTGAGTCAAGAGGCAAAGAGTAAAAGAAAGCTGTCCCAAGCATGGGTAAAGGGATAAGGATTCTTACTTAAGGTCCATTTGTGAGTCAGGGCTTATTTAGAAAGCCAGTTTTAATATTGAAAGGGATGTGAGACTACAAAATCCTTATTTTATAAACATCTTATAGTAATTGATTTTTTTAAATCTTGATTTAAGGCATATGTGTTTACTTTTTGCATTTCTCAGCTCCAACAACAAAATGACTAGTGAGTTGCAGTTTTGTTCCTAGTCAGTTTCATTTTCATCTTATCATGCATTGCACAGGGCTGAGCAAAGTGGTGTTCCTGGATAGTTTCACTGTCATCTTACCATGCAGGGTGGGCAATCATTTTTGATTGGGGTGGGGAGGGGAGGAGAGGAGGCAGCACTCCCAAGATTTTGGTAAGTAGTCAAAAGGCTGCATTTTTCTATAGAGGGGATACAGGGCTTGGGATGGAGGTTAGGTGCTGAAGGGAGCTTAGGGTATGGTGTGCAGGAGAGGGTATAGGATCTGAGAGGGAGTTTGCGTGAAGGAAGGGGCAGGGGATTGGGGTGCAGGGTCTGAGAGAACGTATGGGTGTAGGAGAGGATTCTAACATGCAGGAGAGGTGCAGAAGGAAGTGCAGAGGGTTTGGATTATGACCTATGACAGGAAATTAGGGTGCAGCAGAGGGCACAGGGTCAGTGAGCCGGTGTGGGAAAGGATTCTGGCCTTGGGGGAGAGGGTGTAGAAGGTGCAGGATCAGAGAGGAAGATGTGACCTGTGATGGCGGGACAGAGACAAACTGCAGAGGATTTGGGTAATGACCCGGGGCAAGGACTTGGGGTGCATAAGACACCGAGACAAGATTTATCTAACAAATGAGTTAGAAATATTCTATGGACAGGAAAAGATTTCATGGAACTTCTAATTTTACGCTTTCAACAATTTCTCCTATATTTCTTCAATATCTAAGCTTGCATTATATTTAAGTTTCTGGCCCATTCTACTGCAGTCTTCACAAACTGAGGTCTTTCTGCCACAAAGCCTTCATGAAGAATCTCTGTTCAATACTACTTAAGAGATGGACTCACCCTCCTCCACTCTATTGAACTGTGGTGTTTGAGAGCCATTTCTCTAGGCAATCAAAGGCCACCTGAAAGCCGATGACACTGCCTTCACCCTGTTTCCCCTCCCCTCTTTTCCAAAGCTAGGATTTCTGTATGCATGTTCTTTAAAGAAACTTCCTTGGCAGACTGGTTTAGCAGAAAGGAACTTTAGGTTCTCTTTTTCCCCTTCAGCCTTGGAATTTTCCCCTTTGGTTTCCCAGAACCTTCTCCTGAAACAACTGTGATGGCACATCAATGATTTTGAAGCTGCTAGCAAAACGCAGATGGGTGCTGAGTCATGTAGCTTAAGAGACTTGCTAATGAGATACCTTTGCAATATCCAGTCTTATTACAAATAAGTACAAATTAGGTGAATTTTCAAATAATTTAACTCTTGTCCAAAGTACAAAGGTATAAACAATTTATTTTCAATGGCAGGACTCTAGAATTTCTAAGAAAAGGGTTGAATAGGCTAGGAATGTAAAAATGTTATGTTTAACCAGTTAATCACTTTAATGGGAGTGGGCAGGGCAGCTTCTTCAGCCTGGCAAAAGCCCCACTCTAGCTGGTCTGGAGCACCCTCCGCCCATGGCGAACTGCTCCAGCTGGGCTGCAGTGCCGCTGCCCACCGCAGGCCCCATCAGGCTGGAGCAGTCCCCTCCCTGTGGTGGATGAGGAGCTGCTCCAGCTGCCACCAGTTAACCATAACCAGTAAGCACCACCCAACAAAGCCAATGCTTACCAGTTAACCCATTAATCATTCACATCCCTAGAACAGACCGACTATACATAATTTGCTGAAGTTTAAGATAAGTCACAGGAACATGGCCGCGCCATAGAAATACAGACTGCAGATCTCAGTTTGGCTTCCTCTGCGTTGTTGCCTGAGACAGGAACAAATCTTTCCCGGGCTCCTTTCTGCTCAAATGCAGCTCTTCTGCCATTGCAGAGACAGTAAGGCTATGTCTATACTGCAAGGTTTTTGCGCAAAAACCCGTGGAGCATCCACAAATATGCTTTTGCACAAGGAAATCAAGAGTACAACGGCAGAACAGAGGGCTTTTCCCGCTGTAAGTAAACCTCCTTTTATGAGGCATAACTCCCTTTTGCACAAGAGTTCTTGCGCAAAAAGGCAAGTGTGGATGCTCCAGAGGGGTTTCTTGCACAAGAAACCCATATGGGAAAAAGCACAGGTGTTCTGATGGCCATTCTGTGAATGGCAATCAGAGTTTTCTTGCGCAAGAGTGTCCATACAGTGTGGACGCGCTCTTGCGCAAGAAGTTTTTGCACAAAACCTCTTGCGCAAAAGGCTTCTTGTGCAAGAAGCATGTAGTGTAGACATAGCCTAAGGGAATTACACAAGTGACCACACAAAGCATTGCAACAAGTGTTACACCTGGTATTGGAAAACTGACATTTCCCTGACAATCTTTTGGCTGTGCCTATACAACATACCTAGAAATTTAGTCACCAAAAAACCAGAACTTTTCAGAATAATCATTTTTGGTTCAGAGAGGCAGTTTAATGTGACAAGTAGTTTTGGGTAAATTACGGGAGTTATGGCTTTTGTTGCCGTAACACCTAATACTTGTAAATATCCTAAATCTTTCATAGTAACACTTTTAGGTGAATCTAAGATGTTCTGGATTATGGCACTGCACGAAACTATAATTAGCAGAAGAACAGGGACTTACAGTCGCAGCTCCTCAAAAGACTTCACAGAGTAGAGAGGTGATGTAGGATCCCTCTGTAGCACCTCTACTTGGTTTGTTGTGTCCACCAAGTTGCTGCGAATCAGCTTGTTCAATAAGGACTGGGCAGCTCTATCCTCTGGGGGAGAAAAGGAGGCAAAAACAAGGGTTTCATTATATTTACAGAAGAGAAGGAGGCTCAAAGAACCAGCTGTTAAGCTACAGCATTTTGGCTGGGCTATAGCAGTTACAGTATAAACTGTCACTCCCACTACAACAGGAGCATAAATAAGAGTAATTAAAGACTAATTAAAACAAACACCAAAACCAAATTTCTACAATTAAAAAAAGGGGATTTTGTAGAGTAGACCACTGAAGTTAAACAGAAAATACCTCTTAACTAGTATTGGGAGTAATATTGACATGTGGGAGAGAAGGAATAATGCAAGGAGGCGACAAGCTAAGGACCACTTGCACATACAGAGGTCTGCCTTTCTAAATCTCTCTACCTGGATAATGACACATAAGAACTTAAGAATGGCCGTACTGGGTCAGACCAAAGGTCCAGCTAGCCCAGCAGCCCATCTGCCGACAGTGGCCAGCATCAGGTGTCCCAGAGGGGGTGGACTGAAGACAACGATCAAGCGATTTCTCTCATACCATCCATCTCCAGCCTTCGACAAACAGAGGCTAGGGACACCATTCCTACCCCATGGCTAATAGCCGTTAATGGACATAACCTCCATGAATTTATCTAGCTTCTCTTTAAACTCTGTTATAGTTCTAGCCTTCACAGCCTCCTCTGGCAAGGAGTTCCACAGGTTGACTATGCGCTGTGTAAAGAACAACTTTCGCTTATTAGTTTTAAACCTGCTATCCATTAATTTCATTTGGTGTCCTCTAGTCCTTATATTATGGGAACTAATGAATAACTTTTCTTTATTCACCCTCTCCACACCACCCATGATTTTATATAACTCCATCAGATCTCCCCTCAGTCTCCTCTTTTCTAAACTGAAAAGTCCCCGTCGCTTTAGCCTCTCCTCATATGGGACCTGTTCCAAACTCCTAATCATTTTAGTTGCCCTTTTCTGAACCCCTTCCAAGGCCAAAATATCTTTTCCACGGTGAGGAGACCAGATCTGTACACAGTACTCAAGATATGGACGTACCACAGTTTTATACAGGGGCAGTAAGATATTCTGTGTCTTATTTTCTATCCCTTTCTTAATAATTCCTAACATTCTATTTGCCTTTTTGACCGCTGCAGGACACTGTGTGGACTGTGTTTTCAGAGAACTATCCACGATAACTCCAACATCTCTTTCCTGATTTGTTGTAGCCAAATTAGCCCCCATCATACTATATGTATAGTTTGGGTTATTTTTTTCCAACGTGCATTACTTTACAGTTATCCACATTAAACTTAATTTGCCATTTTGTTGCCCAATCGCTCAGTTTGGTGAGATCTTTTTGAAGTTCTTCACAGTCTGCTTCTGTCTTTACTCTCTTTAACAGTTTAGTATCATCCACAAACTTTACTACCTCACTGCTTGCCTCTTTCTCTAGATCATTTATAAATAAGTTAATCTTACTCAGACACCTTTGACTGAGTAGTGGCAAAGAGAACATATCACCTTAAACATTGCTTTGGTGAGTCTCAAGTGAGGACAAATTTTCCCTCCTAAGGTTTTTAACACAATGGCATGCTATTAGTGTTAAGAGTGCCCAGTTTTGTATCTCTGCCTTTATCCAGCATAACCATTGTGCCCTTGAGTTTCCCTATATAAGATAAACCTTCTTTGGACAAGTTAAGTTGTCCTCCATAAAGGAGCCAGACTACCCACTCCACATGCTAGCTATGAACATTTTGTTCAATAAGAACAAAGCAATGTGTGCCAAAAGCCCCAAAGGTTTAGGAGCACGGGGCGTGATGGCAATTCAGTTAGTATTATCAGACAAACAGCTCCTGTACCTGACTACTGCAGATAGACACAGACTTCACCTTATTTCTCTGCCCCGGCCCCCACCCCATGGCCGCACAGCAGTCTCCTGAATCAATATGGAACAGTGTATTTTGACATCTCTTGCCAAGAAGACCCTCATGAGCAGCCTTTCCTGTAAGTTGTGCACTTGTGTGGCCGCTCAGGAGAGATTCAAATACTGCCCAGCTGATTAGCATGTGCCCACAGCTAGGATTTTTTTCCTGTTGGTGGTGCACATTCACACATATCGGTGCACATAAACAATTTATTCCACACATGGATGGAAAAGATAAGAGGGAACAATGCTCATCAGAATGGCAGATGCCAAGACTATCCATACTCACAAATGAAGCAGACTGGCTTTAAATAGATTCAAACTGAACAGTTTTTTGACTTGCCAGACTGCTTCTCAATTGTGCTTACCTTTTTCCTCATCTTCCGTCTTCTCTGCATTGTCATCTGTCTTGACAATAGCACCTACATTTGGACAAACAGTGGTTACTGGGGCAATCTCAAATGGAATGGAACCAAACAAGATCACACAGCTCATCTACATAGATAATGTAACTGCTACAGTGAGGTAAAACAACAAAGCTGTAAATCTAATCAGTGATAGGTACAAGTTTTGTTCCATCTATACAGGAAAGACTAACGTAACATGAAAATGCTGGCAGTGCAGTTTGCTCTCAACATGTTGTATTTTAATTTAATAGTAACCTGAATCCATCCCTATAATAATCACAGAATCACTTTCTTACTAAACAGCACTGAACAGTGAAAACAGTTTAAAAAGCTTTAAAAAAAAAAAAAGCACTTAAGCCAGATTTTCTGTTAAGGGTACTAGTGGTTAGATCCTTAGCCTTATGCTTCTGGAAGGTGGATGCTAAACTGGATTTTCCACCTGCCGAAAGATATAAAAGCCAGATCTAACATTTGTTAAATAATAGTCTTTTCTAACCCAGTATTGTTGCTGTAAACTCACCATTCGTGTTTGGTTTTGTTTTCTCCTCCTTCAGGTGCAAGTTGCTCAACTGTAAACGTGTAAAACAAGGAAACTGCAATAATTATGCTCAGAAAACCTTCATTTGCTCAAGAAAGCCCTCACTGAAACCTTCCTCAAGGTTAATAATTTCAGACTCACTATTACTAAACACCTCACATGGGTTATGGTACAATTTAAAACTCCAAATATAGTAGGAACTAAAACAATCCATTCTGGAATTAGCAGGCGCGGGGAGGCTTACAGGACAGCCAATGTAATTACAAACTGTATGAGAAATGCTATCTTTAATTTTCCATTCGAGAAGTCACCAAAACCCTTACTAAAATTTTGCTATTTTCTTTTCCTGTGTCACTCATCTGAAATTTGAGTTTCAGGATAGTAATTAACACTACAGAGAAGACAGACACTGAGTACACTCCACAGAATGTTCAATAATCTAAGTCACTGATTTGGAGACCAGCCACCTTCCAAAAGATGGCTTTGGGAAGCCACCTTCCCAAAGACACTTTGTAAGTTTGTAACCGAAGACAAATTCTGAAGAGTACATTTCTTCATGTCTTGTCACAAAGAAGTTTGTATTCCCTGGAGCTAAAGCAATTCTCTTTAAATACTCTTTAGCGCATTAACCAGTTGTATGTACTTGAAGAGACCTAACTGCATCACAGGGGCAACAAACGCACAGGTCAAATTCAGAACCACAATTCCGGTGGCCTAACAAAGGTTGGGCATTGACACAGAAATCTGGATTTGATTGTCCCTTGCTTGATTTTAGACTGGAAGAAGTTTAGAGTACTGCAGTGTGCTCAGCATTCTGGTAGATTAATTAGCAATGCTAACAAAGGATGTTAAATTGCGATTAATCAGTTAATCGAGTAGTAGATGGAATTTCCATTGACTACTCCAATAGTTAATGGAGGGTAGGGCACTCACTACCCCCACTGCAGCTCTGCAGTTTAAATGTAATAGGAGCCGGGCAGCTCTTACTACAATTAAAAAGGCAGAGTTGCAGCAGCTACAGCTCTGCCTTCCCCTTGCACGGCTGAGATGGTACTGGGGGAACCAGCTTTTAAGTTGGCTCCGTCCAGCATCGTCTCCTGCTCCCCCCACTCTTGCTGCCTCCTGCATTATACAATTAAAGGGGCAGAGTTGCAGCAGCTACAGCTCTGCCTTCCCCTTGCACGGCTGAGATGGTACTGGGGGAACCAGCTTTTAAGTTGGCTCCGTCCAGCATCGTCTCCTGCTCCCCCCACTCTTGCTGCCTCTGATATAATGGCACAGACTACCCACTCCACATGCTAGCTATGAACATTTTGTTCAATAAGAACAAAGCAATGTGTGCCAAAAGCCCCAAAGGTTTAGGAGCACGGGGCGTGATGGCAATTCAGTTAGTATTATCAGACAAACAGCTCCTGTACCTGACTACTGCAGATAGACACAGACTTCACCTTATTTCTCTGCCCCGGCCCCCACCCCATGGCCGCACAGCAGTCTCCTGAATCAATATGGAACAGTGTATTTTGACATCTCTTGCCAAGAAGACCCTCATGAGCAGCCTTTCCTGTAAGTTGTGCACTTGTGTGGCCGCTCAGGAGAGATTCAAATACTGCCCAGCTGATTAGCATGTGCCCACAGCTAGGATTTTTTTCCTGTTGGTGGTGCACATTCACACATATCGGTGCACATAAACAATTTATTCCACACATGGATGGAAAAGATAAGAGGGAACAATGCTCATCAGAATGGCAGATGCCAAGACTATCCATACTCACAAATGAAGCAGACTGGCTTTAAATAGATTCAAACTGAACAGTTTTTTGACTTGCCAGACTGCTTCTCAATTGTGCTTACCTTTTTCCTCATCTTCCGTCTTCTCTGCATTGTCATCTGTCTTGACAATAGCACCTACATTTGGACAAACAGTGGTTACTGGGGCAATCTCAAATGGAATGGAACCAAACAAGATCACACAGCTCATCTACATAGATAATGTAACTGCTACAGTGAGGTAAAACAACAAAGCTGTAAATCTAATCAGTGATAGGTACAAGTTTTGTTCCATCTATACAGGAAAGACTAACGTAACATGAAAATGCTGGCAGTGCAGTTTGCTCTCAACATGTTGTATTTTAATTTAATAGTAACCTGAATCCATCCCTATAATAATCACAGAATCACTTTCTTACTAAACAGCACTGAACAGTGAAAACAGTTTAAAAAGCTTTAAAAAAAAAAAAAGCACTTAAGCCAGATTTTCTGTTAAGGGTACTAGTGGTTAGATCCTTAGCCTTATGCTTCTGGAAGGTGGATGCTAAACTGGATTTTCCACCTGCCGAAAGATATAAAAGCCAGATCTAACATTTGTTAAATAATAGTCTTTTCTAACCCAGTATTGTTGCTGTAAACTCACCATTCGTGTTTGGTTTTGTTTTCTCCTCCTTCAGGTGCAAGTTGCTCAACTGTAAACGTGTAAAACAAGGAAACTGCAATAATTATGCTCAGAAAACCTTCATTTGCTCAAGAAAGCCCTCACTGAAACCTTCCTCAAGGTTAATAATTTCAGACTCACTATTACTAAACACCTCACATGGGTTATGGTACAATTTAAAACTCCAAATATAGTAGGAACTAAAACAATCCATTCTGGAATTAGCAGGCGCGGGGAGGCTTACAGGACAGCCAATGTAATTACAAACTGTATGAGAAATGCTATCTTTAATTTTCCATTCGAGAAGTCACCAAAACCCTTACTAAAATTTTGCTATTTTCTTTTCCTGTGTCACTCATCTGAAATTTGAGTTTCAGGATAGTAATTAACACTACAGAGAAGACAGACACTGAGTACACTCCACAGAATGTTCAATAATCTAAGTCACTGATTTGGAGACCAGCCACCTTCCAAAAGATGGCTTTGGGAAGCCACCTTCCCAAAGACACTTTGTAAGTTTGTAACAACCTGCTCTTAAATATCTCCAGAGATGGAGATTCCACAACCTCCATAAGCAATTTATTCCAGTGTTTAACCATCCTGACAGTTGGGAAGATTTTTCTAATTTCCAACCTAAACCTCCTTTGCTGCAGTTTAAGCCCGTTGCTTCTTGTCCTATCATCAGAGGCCAAGGAGAACAATTTTTCTCCCTCTTCCTTGTAACACCCTTTTAGATATTTGAAAAGCACTAGCATGTCCCCTCTCAGGCTAGGTCTAGATCGCGACGTTTTTGCAGAAAAAGCTATGCAAACTGCGCTCTGCATTTTACATAGCTTTTTCTGCCCCCACCCTGAGTAGTAGATGGAATTTCCATTGACTACTCCAATAGTTAATGGAGGGTAGGGCACTCACTACCCCCACTGCAGCTCTGCAGTTTAAATGTAATAGGAGCCGGGCAGCTCTTACTACAATTAAAAAGGCAGAGTTGCAGCAGCTACAGCTCTGCCTTCCCCTTGCACGGCTGAGATGGTACTGGGGGAACCAGCTTTTAAGTTGGCTCCGTCCAGCATCGTCTCCTGCTCCCCCCACTCTTGCTGCCTCTGATATAATGGCAGCAAGGGGGGAGATGTGAGTAGTCGACTTGACTACCCAATAAGCCTAGGCCTATCGGGTAGTCAACTATTCTTTTACATCCCTAATGCTAACTAAATGACACCCACAAATCTGTGCTCAGTTAACAGGATTGTGGTTATGGCCCAGATATTAAAAATGAACATGTGGTGAATCATACAATTTTGATGAGTCATTGGAGAGATGCTGGATGACACACATTGATAACTAGGTAAATACAACATAATTCTCTGAAAATAAGTGTATACACTCCTGGTGTGTTTGGATTCAACAAACAAGTAATCCAAAGAACAAGTATCTGGTATTCCATTATCCTAGAACAATAAGAATCAGCTTGTGCTTCACAGTTCTACACACACCACAGACATGAGATTTGCTGCCCCATTCATAGAATCACAAAATACTAGAACTGGAAGGGACCTCTAGAGGTCATTGAGTCCAGTTCCCTGCCCTTATGGCAGGACCAAGCACCATCTAGAGCAGTGGTCTCCAACCTTTTTACACCCAAGATCACTTTTTAAATCTCAGAACAGGTGAAGATCTACCGCCCCGCCCCTTCCTTGAAGCCCCGCCCTCTCTATTCTCCTCCTGTCCATCACTTGCTATCCTCAGCCCTTACTTACACACTCTGATAAACAGTTTATTTTTAAATTATGCGATACATAAAATTAAAATCAGATGTTTATAGTTATGAAATAAATGGTCTGGTTTTTAATCATGCTATTTAAATAGAAAATGAAGCATTTATAATTATACATTTTGTGGGGACAGAGATCTGCGGCTAGGGGCAGGGGAGGAGGAACAGGGTGCTGGGAGGGGAGAGGACAGGGTTCTGCAGCAGGGGACAGAGTGCCAGTGGGGACAGAGTTCGGGGAGTGGGGACAGAGTACTGTGGCTGGAGCCAGGGGCGTGGGGACAGCGTTCTGTGGCTGGGGAGTGGGGTGCCAGTGGAGGCGGAGAGTCCCCTGCATCTCCCTCCTCCCAGGATTCTCCCCTCCCCCCAGGGAAACCAACGGGTGCCTGCCCCGGGGCCGAC